TTAGAGAGCAAAACGTCATTTAACGCCCTAACGAGAACTTTACATTGTAGTTGACGGAACAATGGTAAAAGCGCCTTCCACGGTAAGTGAAACTGAAATCCGTTCCATCACTTCCAAAAAGTGACTCAATAACCCAAGTAAATCGTAAAAGCACAACTGTACGAGAAGCGAGGACTTTCTGAAGTGATATCGCCACCTCCAGGGAGGTTTGGCCTGGGGCACAGCCCCCAGCCGCTGTGCCAGGTGCTGGTAGCTGCCGTCGTCTATAAAATAGTGACGCTGGCCGGCCCCGGGGCGACAAAGCTCGTGCACCCTGCCAACTGCGGACCGCCGCAGCTAGTGACCATGGAGTGCCGGGGGCTCGGCGTGGGGTGTTCGAAATGGGGCCTGGTGGTTGAGGACCATAAACGAAGTCCAATCCAGTGGCCAAAAGGGGGTCCACCACTGGAGTCACTACTATTGCAGCTGTTGACGGTTCGTAAATGACTTGAAAGTGGTGGTTCTGCCTTGTAGATGCAGCTTGAACTAGATAATCGTCCACGCCACAAAAAGGAGAGCCGAACATTCTGAGGGACACCTGACCCGTGGGCAAAACCACCAAAAGTCTCACTCATTACGCAAGCCGCACTAAGTGCGGTGGCACTGGGACTAAAACAAGTCTCACCTCAAACAACACTCAGCATTTCAGGAATGCCAGGCATCCATGATAGCCCATCAGGGTCCTCCATCCTCAGAGCAGCGTCCACCACACCTGGAACCACACCCGGACCGGCCTCCCTGGCCGTTTGGTCCGTCCGACCTGGATACCCGACAGGGGCCTATTCACCGGAGCGCGGCAGGTGCCCGCTACACGTGCGACAGATGCCGCTCACTCAGCGCCGGCCGCTGGAGACACCGTGCCGCCAACACCAGCCGATGCGGGCCGTCAAACGGTTAAACACCGTAAATTAAACCGTTAACACTGGTCACTAGACAGCTAACACTGCTCGCTTCACTAACTGTTCAGCGAACCAGCGTGCTAACTTGTAGCAATCACTGCACGGTACATGCCTAATACCTATTTTGGGGATGTGTTAATTGGCGTAGAAAAAAGGCATGTTCCAGTGCTCATTAATTTCCCTCAGCTAAGCTAACCGGTTGAAAGTGCAAAGTGCACCCCTGGATGAGCGGTGGCGTGCTGACGTGCCATGATGGCATATGTGATGACAGACGTGCCAGCCGCTTCAGTCGACGACAGACCGCGGAAGGAAGGTGCGATTGACCGCTCAGCCACGGACTGGTCGGCGGCAGACGACAGGAAACCGGGTGGGAGAGACCGTTCCGACGATCGGCCAGACGGCCAGAGACGAAAGGTGTTGAGACCGTTCCAACTGAGACCACCGTTCAGACGGCCGCCCGGCCGGACGGACGGCAGAGACGTGAGGCGACATGCTACCACATATGGTCTGGGGCGACGCTCCACGGGACAGAGCCGCAGTGGCTCGGACGACTAACGAATCCAGCGAAACTCGACAGTGACGAAGGACGGGATGTGGTGGTACAGCGGTAAATACATACACACAGGAAAGGAGCCGCTCAGTGCCTAAAAAGAAGGGAGCTTAAACTACGACGGGCTCGACCACCATTGGAAATCACGCTGCCACGCCGCAATTCGGACAATGTTGGGCTCGGTTACGCATAAACAGAGTCCAGTAAGCGCAGTCACGGATAGCAAACTCTAACTCACAACACGGTCCCGGCGAGTCGTTGGTCGACACGCCAGCATAGATGACGTCATAAAACTACAACAGCTGACTGCCCGGGTTCAAGGTCATCGCCCCGATCACGCACAAGCGTTTACCTGCGGGAGCGGCTTGGAGTTATCACGGCAGACATCGCGAGGAGATCGTGTAAACAGGTCGCGGTGGGCTGCCGGCGAATAACACGGTCTGGCTCGACCGGCGGGAGGCCGCGGGGTGCGAGCTGAACAGAAATTTACAGAGAACTGGACTTGAGGCTTGAGCATTGTTTCCAGAATGCTCGTCCTCGCTGAGGATAGGTATATTTGTGGCAAAAACTTAGGATGTATATACCAGCTGGACTTCAGCAAACAATAAAATGAAAATCGTTATCATTTCATCCATCAAGTTCAAAAGGCTGTTGCTATGGGGACCCTAATCGCGAATCCTCACATCTGGTACCTACGACCGCGACCCTGACACAGTTTTCCGAGACCAATAATGTTTATTTATTGTTGTAGTGGCTCACGAACGCATCCGTAACCATGACGCTGCAGTATTATGTAGTCACTATCTTTTGGTAGTACCAAAAGCCACAAATTATCTGTACCACTGGGATCACAATGCCGAAAATAAAAAGAATATCAGACCTGTCGTGAACAGCACAAATACACTGTGCAAGTAAGTAGTATCAGTAGTATAACGCACGATCATGGATAACTCGCTTCAGTGTCTCGCGTCAGGTAACGTAATTGGAAGTGTCGGGCGTCACACGCTTGCCTAAAGGCTGAAACAGTGAAACAGACTCTTTCCGCGTTCAGGAAATCGCATGCGAGAGCCTATTCAAATACATTATAATTCTTCCCGCATCAATCACATCGGGGAGGTGCGTGCGATTGATGCGACCGTGCTTCCATGTATTTGAATAGGCTCTCGCATGCGATTTCCTGACTGCAGAAAGAGTCTGTTTCAGGCATAACAGTGCGACTTTGGACTGCATCAGCGTCTCTAAGGGACGATTGGAAGTGTTTATTCATCGCCACGTCTCACACATGTCAGCGAGTTGGCCAGCTCATTGGGGATGCAATGCGTTCTTGCGAGTGCCCAGTAGCCATCCTGAATGTGACGCAAGTGAGACAATACGTAAATGCCCAGAGAAACAAATTACTACATCAGGACGTCCGCCAGTTAGATGGCTAATTGAGCTAAAATAAACATCCCTTCTGGCAACTAGAGCACTTAACGATGACGGGCTGAAACGTTGTAGAGTTGAGATCTTAACTTGGGAACGGGACGAAATGCCAACTATAAACATCTGCAAGACCTCTACTCCATTGCAAGACGTCACCGGGGCAGTTAAGGCACAGAAGCTTGTTGGAAAAAATACGTATCCGAGGCCCTGTTTATGCACAGGAACGAATCTGGAATTAATAAATGAAGTTAACACTGGCGCGTCTGTCCAACAAGACGTTTGCATACAGCATCACGTGCTCGATGACGTAGTTGTTGTTTATTGGGGCTTTAGGGCGCGCCGACTGCGAAGGTCATTTTGCGCCCATAACGTCACACTAATAAAACAAGTGTTTCAAAACAAGAGACCAGTGCTGGAAATGAGGCCGCTTTCTGGTCCCGGCGTTTTATTCTCCGGGTGAGTTAGCCCCGTCTAGCGCTTAGCCTTTCGGGACCCTCTCAGAGCCGCGGTTGTTTTCGCCGCTCGGCCCATTCGAGATGCAAAGTTGATAGTCGCACGAAGTTTATTTGGGACCTCTGAATATCAGACTTCGAAACTAATCGATTCTACAAAACATTTTTCTTTCATCTATATGCATACATTTAACAGTAACTCCAGACTAGACTGGTTTGCCTGGCTCTAAATAAGCTTCGTGTGACTATGAACTTTGCATCTCGACGGGGCGAGCGGCGAAAACAACCGCGACCCTGAGTGGGTCCCGAAAGGCTAAACGCTGGACGGGATTAACCCGCGAGGAGAATAAAACGCCGGGACCAGAAAGCGGCCTCATTTCCAGCACTGCAAGAGACCTTCTATATACCAAGGCTAGAAAGTAAAAGACTTGATAAAAACGACAAGGTAAGATAGCACAACGCAAGAGCGTCGTAACAGTCAACTGACTAGAAAAGTAGACTAGAGAGGAATTGGGTCAGGTTGAGTAAATCACTTGGAAGTTGACCGAACGGATAAAGGAAAAAATATTGCCGGATAAAACCCAGGGTGACTCGTCACCCAGTAGGTGGCGGATAGTGGTACCAGGAGCAATACAGCCCAGGTAGCGTGTCCGGTTCCGTTCAAAGAGTGGGCAAGATAAAAGAACGTGAGCGACGGTTAGAGGCACGGAACACCTGTTGCACAAAGGCTGCTCACCTCCTGAAAGGAGATAGCTGTGCGTCGCGTATGTGTGACCAATACGGAGTCTGCAGAGGACCACTTCCTGGAAACAATTGCCTTGCAGGCAAGACTGCCAAGGCTCTAGAGTTGGTTTCAACTCTCTCAGCCTGTTCCTCGTCACCACTGAGGACAGACGTCACAGAACCGAACGTGCGTCACAGCACTGGGCGCCTCCAATATTGCAGATCACGTTTTAACGACGCAGATCCGTCAGCCACAGCCCGCGAGGTCACAAAGAACCTGCAAGGTCGGCAGGGCATTGGGCAATGGTAGGTATATCCGCAGAGAGTTGACGGGTGTATACCTACGTCAGTCGTTTGTATGCAAAATGCAAATCTTAGTTTAAACATCGCAAACAGGCCATAGTGGAGGCCAGATGTAAGGGCATATCGGCAAGAAAATGGTAGTACCAGCACCCACACGATCACAAGGGAAAAATAATACTTTACAAAGGGACATAGTCCCTATTGCTGCCCCTGAGGTCATTCCACGCGTCCGGCGGTGACACTCATCATTGCACACTTAGCATACGCCGGGTTTTGGAGGGCCATTTCCGGCGGAGGGGTTCAGTAGTTGGTCGATGATAGTGCGATTATTGAACACGGCGGTACCGGTACAAGTGACGAACGTTCCCACAGTCTGTAGCCAGGAGTGGGGTTCACCGATTGGACCAGGGACCGCATTATTTACTAGTCAAGTGACCGACGTTAGGCCGTTAAGGTTACATTGTTCATGGTTGTTCAAAGCCCCGCCTAGAAAACCAAACTAACAATATGCGTCCCAGCTCCGTTACAGCGAGCTCGTCTAAAACACCATCCCTACCCAGGTTCGAACCTGCCCCTCGGCCTTGTCGCCGTCCGCCGGCTCAGCTGACTGACCTGTTTGTAGATCTCGAAGGCGGCGAACTGGGTGGCGGCGTAGGGGAAGACGCGCACCATCTGGGCGCCGTTTCCCTTGTAGAGCGCCAGGAACCGCTCCTGACGGACAATGTTCAGCAGGCCGCTAAACACGCCTGCCGAAACACAGGAGTGTCAACACTGAAGAAATGGGCAGCTGAGGAAAATCTTGTGATGTTTGAGAATTATCTTAGGCAAGGGTCATTGTCAAACCAAAAATTGATCATGTGGCAATCGATTATGGGAAGGCACTGGACATGTGACATCAGATCACATGGGTTAACCGGCGTCCCGTAGGGCTATCGGCGGACCCTACGACCCGTAAGGGGTTTCGTGTTCCGCCCCCCAAGATCTCGGAATTTTACCAGCTGATATTCAAAGGCCTGGTCGGAATCGGCTGCTGTGCTGTTGTCAGCTGAGATCCAAGCCCCTGATTGGTTGAGATATTGATGACGTATCACGCCTTCCCGCGCTGTGACGTCACACCTCTGCTGACAGCCGGCTTTTCGGCTGCTGGGAGAAGGCAGCAGCACGTCAGCCGAAATTCAAAGTGGCTCGAAAGTGGCGCATGTAAGTCAAAGCGCAGCTTTTAGTGCAGTCGGTTAGTTTTTATATACGATGTTTTTGACGTATTTTGTATTAAATATTTTTCGCGAAAGATAGCAATTATTTCTTTTTCATGGCGCAATGTGCGAGTCAGCCTGAAAACAGTACCTACAAATCGAAATGCCAGCACCGCCTCAATTATCAATCCTGTAATTTTTCTATAGCCTCGGCAAATAAACCTCAGAAATATAATGTAACGACTAACGGAAGATAGTCGTTGAAAAAAGCGCGAAAATGCTACCTCTCCTCAAGTCTCAACTCTCAACCCTATCTGTCGAGCGCCATCTTAGCATCTCAGCGCCATCTGGGCTGACGTTTCCTGTCAGCCGATTATGAACAAGCCCATCAGCAGCGTGGTGTGGGCGGGGCTTATTCTCGGCTGTCAAAGTTCTGTCAGCCGATTCCGACCAGGCCTCAAAATTCACCACCAAAATTCAAAAGCCACCAATGGACTCAGGAAGACCTGCCGAATAAAATGATGATATGCGACATTAGACCTGTCCAAAAAAAAAACCAACTTTTCGATGGACAAGCTCCCCTGGTGTTTTCCCATTGCTAGATGGCCCAATAGCTAGCACACCGAATTTCAGCCCTCTAGCTAAACCCTCGACCCTAGCGCAAGAGCGTCAAAGTTTTCCGGTGCGAAGTACACAGAGGTCATTCTCCGGTGTGAGTCATGCAGTTGTCGTGTCAGCAGCACTACGCATAAATGTAAAATAATGTGTGGTGAGATCCGTGTCATGGTCTGCGCCCCCCCCCCCCCCCCCCACCTATATCCCCGCGCCGCCCCTGTGCCGCCTTCGCCATATTACCGGAGGGGTTGGGTCACGTGACCACGCTGACCTGGGAGCCGCGACCGGTCGGCGCGGTCACTTGTCCCCCGGTCACCGACCGCACCGCAGCGCCACGTCCACCGACTCTACTGCACCGCTACCAGCTACGTAACTGAGGTTAGTGTGTTTGTTTAATGTTGCCTCGTCAGCATAAAATATGCACCAAAAACGATAAAAGCACTAATTTGTTTTGTCGCATGAATAGTGGACATTTTCAGTCGTTTCATTTCCACATCTCACTTTTAAATATGGGCTGCTTTCTGTTTTGTGCTATGCTGGGTTCCCATGAAAATCTTCACACAAAACAGCTGCAATAACCCAGCAGCTAATATAGATAATTTAATTGATGGTCGCTTTCAAATTAAATCGTGCTCATTTTTGGTAGATACATTTCGGATTCATTTGTATACCGGTAATAGAAATGGAGTCGGACCCATCTTATTTCTCTCGCTTTCAGACTGTTCCTGGCCACTCGTTCGTGCCATGCCGACCACTCGAGGCGGCAGAGAAACTGGGTTTACCAGCCCGAGGAGATCGGGGAAGGCTCATCCAGCACGCCGATCCCGAAGCAGAGCCAGCATATGGCTTGTGGGTAAAACCATTGAGGCGTTTCGCCCTACCCAGCTGCCTACCAGGAGAGAATGTCTACAACGGCTCTTCTACCTGGAGGAAATCGAGGTAGGCGTCGTCAGCATCAGGAGGCATGGCGTCCAAGGTCGCCGATGAAGCGCTGGCTCTGTACGCTGCTGCAACGCTTACAACTGTCCGCCCCGACAGCTACAGACGTCATCATAAGGCTGCACAACCAGTGGGCCGGGCTGAAGAAGAGCAGGAACCGGGATTCTGCGATTGAGAGGAAGAAGAGGCGGCAATTCGAGACATTCATCAACAAACTGTGTGACCTGACAACCGAAACCGCCGTGCGGGACATTCAGCAGGATCGGCTCAGGGATAAAGCGGATAAACAAATGGACCTGAAATTTCTGTTCCGACATCAGATACTGGAGCTGGGCATCATCTCCAAGGACATGCACGACAAGCTGCGGCGGTTCGCTGTGTTTGTCTGCCTCTTTTACGTCAAAGAGTGGCTCACCTGCACAACAGCTGTGGATGCCGCTGTCAGCGACCTCAGCAGGTACCAGGACCTCAACGTTCTCCGCAGGGTGGACCCTAAGGTAGCGGAGGCGGCAATGGAGGTGTACGGTCGCCACACCTGGTACCTCACGCAGGAGCTGGTTACCTTGGCGCTGGTCAGCTCCCTGGTGGATCCTCCAACGAAACGGCGGATGGCAGACGTCATACACGAGTATGCGACGGAGCAGGCAACCGCAACCAGAATGGACAAGCCCGATCTCCCGACTCTGCCCACCGAGGCCGGCCAAGTGAAGGCAATGGAACTGGATGACTTCATCGGACCAGAATCCCGCACAGTGTTCGGAGTCCTCGGCATCAGCGCGGGATTTCTGCGAAAGCCGCTGCCGTGGGACGGTGATCCGGACTTTGATCGCCTGGCGACATTCGTCCTGCACCTGCGGGTCACAAACGACACTGCGGAGCGCGGAGTAAAGCTCATTAGTGACTTCGGCGGCCACATCACGACCTCCGACTTCGAGCTGCAGGAGCTGCTACAGGTTGTGGAGGCGCACCGTCAGCGGTACCCAGACTACAGCAAAGCCACCTTGTCAGCCGCCGTCTGAGGCCATGAGACTGTGATTCTGTGACTGATCAGTGCTGTGCGTCTTTCATTGGCTGTAATGTGACAGAAAAGATGTGATTTAGGTTGTTTATCGTCTGTTGAGAAATGCATTTGTTTTATCGTTTCATCAACATATGTCTTTCGTACCAAATACGAGCAGCAGTGGAAACCAGACGCTGTGTTTTGGTTACCTTATATCTAAAGTAGGATAAAGCTGCCTACCTCGGAAAAGTGACATAATGATTTGCCAGTTGTTACTTGTTTCGTGTTTGTCGTTTTGTTTTGTGTCATTACCATTCCTAGGTAATGTATTATTCAATACAAATCAGACGGGTTAGACCACCTGTGCCGAGTTTACGAGCGAAGATGTGTCGATGTGTCAGACAATGACACGGATCTCACCACACATTATTTTACATTTATGCGTAGTGCTGCTGACACGACAACTGCAGGACTCGCACCGGAGAATGGCCTTCTCTGTGTACTTCGCACCGGAAAACTTTGACGCTCTTGCGCTAGGGTCGAGGGTTTAGCTAGAGGGCTGAAATTCGGTGTGCTAGCTATTGGGCCATCTAGCAATGGGAAAACATCAGGGGAGCTTGTCCATCGAAAAGTTGGTTTTTTTTGACAGGTCTAATGCGACATGACCTCTTTCGACCAACTTCGTGACCTGGGGGTGCTGAGCTGACCGTGACCTGAGGTCAACACCCTAAGTTGACCTGACCCAAACAAAAAGTACATCATTTGACGCGCCTGAGCAAGGCGAACATGATGCTGCCAAAATCGCGGCTCTGCGGCCATTTTTTTGCGAAGTTATTCACCAAAAACTGAACCGTACCTTGGGGCACTTGACCTGACCTCAGAGGTCATCGGTTGACCTAGGACCTAAAAATTGGGTACCAATCTCTGCATCTTGTAACACATGCTCGTTTTTTCTGCGACAGGCTAGCTCCACCAGGGGTAAAACGGCAATGTATGTAGAAAACCAATAGGTCTGGCGAGGGTCATTTATTAGTGTTTGAGCGGACAGTCAATAGCTCTCACCATGGTGCTTATAGTGCTTGTTGTGGGCCTGCAGGAGGATTTTTATCCTGTCCAGTGGCGCCACCGTGGTCTTGGCGCACATTCCTGCCACACCTGGCAACAAGAGAGAAACAGTCAGTCTTGGAGAAACTGGAGTGGTCCTCCCAAAACACCTGGAAATAGGAGAACAATAATCTACCCAGTACCCAGAGCAATGGCTGCTGCAGTAATTGCATTGAGCATTAAATGCCGACAACAATTTAACCCCGTCTCCGGCCATCATGTTCCATCTCCCAACGGCCACCTAGTTTGCCCCAATCGCAGCTACCTACTAATTTCAACACTTTTACGTTAAGAGCATTCACCTGGTTTACATAGCTTTGGTGTGGGTTAAAATTGATATTACAGATACCTAGTAAAAACAAATTGAAATAAATAATACACTTATGGCTGAATGTGCCCATTTCACATTATTTCTATGGAAAATTGGTATGGACAGAAATATCATGCAATAAGTTCTTGGTATTCAAACTCTAACAGCTCAAAACATCACTTAAAACATGCTTACCTCCAGCCAAAAAAGCTTTGCAAAGCGACTTGGCATCATGAGTGACTGGCTCGTTTTCCTTCATTTTGATCGCAAAACACGTTTGATTACTGCAACTGCAGCTAATTGAGCTTCCTGGTACCAATCAGCACTTGCACGTCTAATAAGGGGCACAAAATTCGACAGAAGGCCCCTATATCGCGATAACTTATTCACGCAGCACGGACCTCCACCTCACCAACAACACCACCAACCTCGAAATGGAGCGAGTGAAAATATGAGAATGAGAACTATTTTCCTTTCGATCTTGATTTCGTTTGGTTTTAATACGTCACATCATTTCAACAAATTGTCGCGTCGATAACAAACTTTTATTTATTGTAACATGTGAATTTCCAGAAAAAAGATGATTTTTTTATTACTCATTGGCTATGTTTGCAAACTAATCTAGAATATTTGAGAATGACACATACTCTGTCACTTTTTTGCTTTTATTGTTCTTTTATCTAATGACGTATTCAGATTTGAATAAGAAAAACACATTTATATTAACTGCGCCATAATTGCCCTAATTCAAGCATGCTCTTTTGCAATGGTACACGTATGTCAAACTAGGCACAAATTTTACTGGCCTTAACATAAAGTATTTCTCAGCCAATAATATTTCCATTTTGTACTAAACAGGATGGGGAGCAAAGGTGGGTTTGGTGATGCATTTGCCATTTGATATGCCTAGTTGTTTCAGATTTTTGACATGAATTATGAAGTCTGACTAGAAACAGGGATAATCAAACATTCAATCATAAAAAACTAGTTCAGAATAGAGGTGGCAAAATGTGGACCCGGGGACCCGGTCCAAAGAACCAGTCTGCTGGACCCATACGGGTCCAGACCGGTTCCTGGAAATTTTCTGACGGGTCCAACCGGGTCCTGCCATAAACCATACATTTTGCACACTACACATGATTGCAAAATATTGAAGTGAATGGAAAGAAAACATTTGCTCGTGTAGGGGAGAACGGGGCGATTTGGCCGCCTTTTTGTAAAAACGATATTTTGAGAAAACCAGTGCGCGTTTGGTCGATTTATCCATGGAGGGGTGTGGGGCGTTCAATTGTTGTTCTGGCCTATTACTTGCATCATGCCGGGACATCTCGTTTCGGTGGTAATTAACCGTTCTTTCAAAGACTGCACGGCGGCCAAATGACCCCGGTACCGGGGTCATTTGGCCGGGGGAGTGGGGTCATTTGGCCGGGCATGTGATTCAGAGATATACCTATTACAGAGCTGAGATAACCTGAAATATTGACGCCCAAGATTGTGCTTAACCCTATTAGTGGCAGGCTCCTGGCTACCCCTATTAGTGGCAGGGGGGCTGTTAACAACCCCCCCTTGATATCTCGAGATCTAACGGGCCGATTTTCAAAATTCAAACGGCATTCGATTTCGCTCAACGTGATCTACATTTCTAAAAAAAAAATATCAATAGGGGGGTAGAGGGGGGTAAAAACGGGCAAATTGCAGATACATTTTAGACTGTTCATCACGGCCAGGTTTATGAACCAATCTCAACGCAACTTTTGCCGATCAATAGAGAATGAACCAGAAATTCACATGGATCCTAAAAATATGCATTTTTAAAAATCATAGGCGGATACAGATCATTGAGATTGGGGGTACACAAAAAGTATTGTAAATAAGGTTTTTGTTGGTACTGTTTCTAAAAAGGGTGATAATGGTCTTTTTATGTTACAATTTTCTTATGAGAGAACGACTACAATTGTATTGGTCATGCATAGGCGGTGTCAGGGCACCTATGTTGGGAGATAAAACATAACCCCCCTTTTTGGACGCCTGGATCCGCCTATTATAGCAAAAACGTGTCAAAAGAGGATGCACAATAACTTTGTATATGTTATCACATGATACCTTTCATTCACTGTTCGTAAAACTGGTGCATACAGTTATAATACATCAGCATCGTGATCTTCGCCCAAATGACTCGCTTCACGAATAGGACCCCCCAATTCCCAGTGCTCTGGAGCCGCCTCTGGTAAAGTTATGAACTTGAAATTTTCAGGGAATGTGCCCAATTTAGTTTTAGGAAAAGTCAGAAAATTTCAGCATCGTAGCTTTAGCGGTTTTGGAGATATTCCCGAAAAACCTGAGGGGCGGATGAAAACAACCCCCCTGCCACTAATAGGGTTAACCCGGCAGGCGGTGGGCCTACCAGCCACCTTCCGCGCGGTGGGGGGGGGGGGCATTTTTTGCCCCCCCCGTATCTCCGAAACTACTGGACGGATCCGGAAAATTCAAACGGCGTTCGATAGCCCTGTCAAATTTGTCGAGGGAAACCAAATTTCATTGACCTCGGGGTCACCGATGACGTCACAGGTCAGGTCAAAGATAAAATGTTTCACCGTTCACGGGGCTTCTAGGGAAAGCGCTATAACACCGAGTAAAACGCATTTTGTCGAAAATCAGCGATAAGGCGTCAGTTGTCTAGTACATATGTTGCTATTAGAGGTCACTGGTCATACCAGGTCAGGTCACAGGTCAGGTCACCAAAGGTCACCAAGGGTCACAACATGAGCCCAACTTTACTAAGGTTATGCGATGCATGTTTTATGGCCAGTTTTTCATTTCCAACTCAATGGTGTTGGTTCTAAGACCATCAGGTACGGTTTAGGTCACCTTCTGGTGGAGGTCAGGTCAAGGTCAGGTCAAAAAAGGTCAAATTTCAAAGTTGATATTTTTGCATAAAATGGGTATCGATTCGATGCAGCTCGTCACGAAGAGTCTAATGGTGGTCTTTGTTTTGCGCTATGAGGTCTAGAATTGCTAAAAATTGAGTTTGAAAATTTGACGTCATCAATTTTGAACAGTTTTTTCGCTATAACTTGGCCAAAAAAAGAGGTATCGATCTCAAATTTGGTATGTAGGTAGAAGGCGGTAGGGGCTATCACATATATTCCGGTTTTTTCGAAATTCAAAAAACTGTTTTGATTTTTTGGCTATTATATTCAAAAAATCTATTTTTTAATTTTTGGGGGTCTAAATCCAAAAAATTCGAAAAACCGAAATTGAAGTTTTGTAGCCCTTTCAATTCTACACCTTTTGTGTCTGAAACATTTTTCTATATCTCTAAAGCTGTAGGCCTGACAGCTCTTCCCGCGAAACCTTTCTTTGGGTCGAAAATGGCAAAAATGACGTCACTCTGACGTCATTAGCGTCCAACCTATCATAGCCTTTGGAAAAATTGTTAGTCACCATGTGCGCTAGCTGCTCACGGGAGGGTACCGAAAGTTTGGTGACGATCGGCGCAGCGGTTCTCGAGATATATCGAAAAAACTAAAGGGGGGGGGGCAAAAAAAATGCCCCCCCCACCGCCTGGAAGGTTAACTCATGAATTCTGGATTGACTCGACGCATGACTGATGTGACGATTCAGATGCCCCAATGCTGACACAAATGATGAGCATCGTGACTCGTCGTTGATTCGCCTGAAATCCCTAATTTTTCAAAGGACTAGGCTTACACTCGATTCATTTGAATCAGTGCAAGTGAGGAGCCACATTTGATTTACGAGCTTACGACTCATGAGTTGAGCACTGCCCAGTGATAACAACGGCCAACTGTAATGGCTGCCAAATCGTAGATTGCTTTAGACAATCGCATTGCAAAAAAGTCCTTTGTGCACGAATTGTTTGTTTATTTCAAACTCTGTCGTAAACACGAAATAAAAACGATTCCAGCAGTCTTCGACCCAGCACTTCAGATCACATCCACTGTAAAATACGGTCCCGACGACATGGACACATGTCCAGTCATCACTGCGCTTCAGTTTTTCACCTTTGCGCCCCTGTTTCTTCGACGGTTCAGCTCCCGACGTTCGATGGTTCGACGGTCCAGCTTGTGGACCCCGCTGTTTGCTCCTCGCCATACGTGCCTGTTGCTCGTCCTCCAAAGCCGTCCGCTCCGGGCTGTTAGTCATGATTTTAGAACGCCCTTTCTTCCGACCGGCTTTTCGAACGTTGATGCGCAGCTGCTGGGGCGACAACCGGTGCGAAGACCGCCGTCGGCGCAGTCTTCGTCGTCGAAGATATCCCGGTATAGCGGGGATATCCCGGCCGCTTCGAAGCTCTTAACCCGCGGATGTTCTTCCGCGTGAAGGTGGCGTCTTAGGGCACGACGAAAAATCGGCGCCACCGGTAGAGGTCAATGTGACGTCCCGGGTTCGCCATCTGCCGCCGGGTGCCGAAAGCCAATCAGCGGACATCTTGGTTAGATCGTCCATTGCATTTAGACTGCGCCGCATTGCCATCCTCAGCGGCAGAACTTAGCCAGCGCAGCGCGTCGCTCGCAGAATAGGCAAAAAATCAACCGAGTCACTGGGCGGCCAATTCGCCCCGTATGGGGCGGCCAATTTACCCCAATATTACATTTTTAGCAAAAGGGGTCCACAGACAAGCAAAAATTGTTACTTAAACTTGCAAAAGGGTCAGACAGCTCCCTGAATCACCAGATTGTTCTACCAATAGAGTTAAAATTTTGATGTCACCCATATAAGGGACACCATGCAACTTTTCGTAAAGAAGAAAAAGTTACGTTTTTAGCCAAAATTCAAATATCGTTGGATTTACAAAAAACTGGGCGTCGTCGAGTTTCCTTAGTTTCTTTCCAAAGTAGTTCTTATGACGGCGGATGGTGCCATATACAAAAATAATCGCTCGGAACCGTCAAAACGCGTAGACATGGGGCGGCCAAAGTGACCCGGGCGGCCAAATGACCCCGCTCTCCCCTACCTACCTATGTTTCTTTACCACACTAGCTCATGAGTGTTCCCCATAGGAAAAGGCTGTTTTACGTGATGCAACTATTAATACCTACTAATAATTTGTATTAATTGACTTTTGGGGAACGGGTCCAACTGGTTCCGATGCCAACTTAGACCGAGTCCGACTGGTACCAGAAATGTCCAGTCGGGTCTGGTTCGAGTCTGCTTCCCAAAATTTGCACCTTTTGCCACCTCTAGTTCAGAATACAGAACCTATATTTGTTAGCTATTTTGAAAGAAGCCTGAAGGATCGTTGATGAGGTCCGTCGTTCAGATGGCGGATGCAGCGCCATACTCAGCAGTAGCATAGGTGGGCATCGTTAATCAAAAAGTTAGTTTCGTTAATCGTTAATCCGTTAACTAAAAAGTTAGTTCCGTTAAACGATAATCCGTTAATTCACAACAAAAGTAACGGAAGTTACTTT